CTACTACAGCCACGAGCTCCACTCTCTCGCCCGCCCAGGCAACACAATCCGCCAGTGTGTGTGGGCAGTGTCCGCGCTCGTGACCGCAGTGATGACACCGCGTTGTGCGCTCTTTCCCTATCCTATTCAGGTACTCACCGAAACAGCCATTCCGGTGAGTACCTGTGTTATATGAAAGGACACCCCTCCTTTGGCCCTGTCTAGTCAGCTTTCTAGACAGGGCCGTATAGCCTCGACGGTGCTCTGTCCTGGCAGCCTTGGATCTGCAAGGCTGTCCTTCCATCTTTGGATCAGCGACCGCCGAGAGTGGACTCTCACTGTACGCCGGAGACTCTCCGTCACTATGATGCCCGCCCGCTGATAATCACGCGTACGCGTGTAAACTTCCGCGTACATGCGGGCGAGCATCTCCACAGGGAGTACTCCAGAGAGCACCCCCACTGCCGCCCAACTCACTGTACGGTAGCCTCGACAGATCCTGTTGGCTACCCGCCTCTGTACTTGCCTTATTGTTAGTGCATTTCTTGGGCCGCGGGCAGCCTCCAGGCATTCCGCCCATACCGGGGCCCCGTACAGGAGCATGGCGTGTATCGTTCCGGCGTACAACTTCCTAACACTCCCGCCGGGTCCCTTAAGATTGGGCAGCAGACGCTGTAGCGCCATTGCTGTCCTCTCTACTTTGGGGGATATGCGGCGGAAGTGCTCCCGGAAGGTCCACTTGCTATTGAGATGGAGGCCTAGGTATTTTAAGCAGGCCCCCATCTCTACTGGAGTGTCCTTCACTCTGATGTGGACTCTTGGTGGCGCCCCATAAGAGTCATTGTGTAAAAAGATAGCCTCAGTTTTTTGGGGCGCCACCTTGAGTCCCATCCGTCTTACAAAGTGCACAACGTTTGACTGCGATGTTCGTCCGAGCGGTCGCGTCCTCCTACGAGTTCCCCCCGACTATCACCAGTGTGTCGTCTGCGTAACACACTGTGTGGCAGTCAGGGGGAAGGGCTTGCCGAAGAACGGCGTCATATGCGAGATTCCATAGAAAGGGTCCAAGCACTGACCCCTGCGGAACCCCGCACGTCATTTGACGCCTTTGTTCCTCGGCATTACGGTTGGTATAGGCCAACCGCTTTGGCCCTGTCTACGCGAGTGGATAGACAGGGCCAAGGGAGGGGTGACATTTAGGATGGCACAGGTGCTCACCGGGCATGGATGCTTCGGTGAGTACCTGTGCCGTATTGGAAAGGAGCGCACGACCCGTTGCGTCCATTGCGGGCACGAGCGTGACGACGCGCAGCACACGCTGGAGGCGTGTGCTGCCTGGAACGAAGAAAGGAGGGAGCTCGTGTCCGCGATGGGCGCAGACCTCTCGCTCCCGGCCGTAATTGCGGCTGCGGTCGAGAGCGAAGACAAATGGAGGGCCTTCTCTTCCTTCTGCGAAAAAGTTATAAAGCAGAAGGAGGAGAGGGAGAGAGAGCGAGAACGGAAGGGGCAGAGGAGGAGGAGGAGGAGAAGGCCTCCCAATGAGAAGGGGAGCGAAGGGGAGGACGGGGATGAAGACTGGCTTCCCCCCTTCAAGGATCGGCGTCGGACGCGGAACACGGCGCCGACGTCGACCCGACCCGGGATGAAATTAAAGGGGGGGGGTGAGACGTACATACCGTCTTATCCCCATCTCCCCTCCCAAGCCCGGCGAGAGGGATGTGAAAAAGGGAGGTGATAGAAAGGGTGATGGAAACGGGGAGGGGGTTTCTCCCGGCGCAACCGGGTGAGACCCTCTCCCCTGCGGGGGGGCGGGGGCTGCCGGTCGCCGGCCGCAAGACCTAGGTCCCTCGGCCGGGGGATGAGTGGCCCTCCGCCTCCCCAGGGTACCGGCCCCTCTTCTCCCCCTGTGGGGGAAGAGGGGTGCTGGCTTTTTTTCTCCCCGGCGGTGGTGGCCGGTCCTCGATTCCCTTTGGGACGGAGGGGGGCCACCATCGACGGGGTTGTGGGGGCTAGCGTCGTCGGGCCTTAGGGCCCGGCGCCGCTGACCGCCCACGCGTGGGAGTGACGGGGGCGCCTGGCCGCATGCCCGCCTGCCGGTGGCTCATAGGAGTCGGCTGGCGGGGGGGTGGGCGGTCCTGCGCCCTCGTCCAGCCGGGGTCTCTTTGAGGAGAGACCCCGGCGTTAGCGCCGGATGCCGGCGGCCGAGCCCTGAACCCCCTCCGGGGAAAGGGTGATTGCCACGGCACCCGGCAAAGGGGGGGATTGCGGGGGGTCCAAGCCTCGGCTTGATCCCCATTGCATGCGGTCCCCCTCCCGCGAGGGTGCGAGGGTCTGTTGCCCTCCCGCCGAGAAAGACGCCCAGGGTCGGGCGTTCTCGACTGGAGGGAGCAACCCTCGCGAGGGAAGTCACCCCCCCGGGGGTGGTTTCCCTGAGAGGGACCCCCTCGGTTGGCGGTCGAACTCGGCTACCCTTTGGGTGCCGGGGGAAACCCCAACCGGGGGGCGGGGTGCGGGCATACTCGAGCCGTGATCCCGCCCCCCAAAACCAACGGGAGGGCGCAGCGTGGGGTTGATACCGCCCTGCGTCGTAACCGCGAAGACCTGCACTTGCGGGGGGGGGGTGCCGCCTTCAGTGGCATCCTCCTCAGGAGGGATAAAGGCGGGGAGGCGGCTAGTAGGCATGGGATACCAGCATCCTGGCCGCCCTCTAATAACGCCCGAGAAGGTATCCGTAGTGGTTTTAGTGAGGTATGTCTTGCGCCCCCTGACCGATCTATTCGTGGATCGGCTAAGGAGAGTAAGAAGACCCACATAACCGTCCGCCCTCTACCCGGAGGGCGGGGGTATCCATGAGGATTTCCACTACGTAAAAAAAAAAAAGGCCAACCGCTTGTCCCGGAAATAGTCCGCCAGGATTGACACCAGATACTGGGGGATCCTGATAAGCCAGGGCCGCCCCAATCCGGTGCCATGGCAAGGTGTTGAAGGCGTTCGATACATCTAACGACACAGCCATCAACACCCCGCCTTCCTCCGTTACGGCCACCGAGATCGAACAAACCCAACGAATAGCATCTATTGTGTATTGTCCAACCCGGAAGCCGTATTGTTCCCGGTTCAGATTCTGACCTTTCTGGGACAAGTGGTAGACGAGGCGGTCCACTATGATCCTCTCAAGAATCTTACCCGCCTCGTCTATTAGGCAAATTGGCCTATACGCCGAGGGCATATCCCTCGGCTTGCCTTCTTTAGAAAGGAGGACTATTTTGGCCTCCTTCTATTCTCGTGGGAAGGAGCCCATGCGGAGGCACTCGTTGTACATCCTCCGCATGGGCCCCGCCAGACCCCAATAGGCGAGAGCCCATATCTTTCCGTGGACGCCATCAGGATCGGGAGCTTTCCTAGACTTAATCTTCCTGATGGCGCCGCACGAAGCTCTCCTTCCCCCCATGGCTTCCTCGTCTCACTCCCATTCCCGCTCCGGAATTGGGTCATCATGATCCTCCTCCCGCGGGAACAGGGTGTCTACGACTTGGCCGACAAATTGGGGGTCCAAGGACTCCGTGATTGGGACGCCTCCGCTTCTCAGCTTCTTTAGAACTATACGATGGGGCGCCCCCACGGGTCCTCGCCCAGGGAGGAGAGCAACTCCTTCCAGGCTCTCGCCTTTGCCCTCCTTATCAGGACGCGTAGGTCATCTCGCTTTTTTTTGTAGATGTCCCACGCGTCCTGATATCCCTCGGGGTCCAACCGCTCGAATTTCCTTCTCTTATAGGCTCTTCTTCTGGCATGGTCGGAGGCTCGCCTTGCTTCGGCGATTTCTTCCGACCACCAGTAAGCCTTTCGGGGGGACTTCCGTTTTATCTTGGGCATGGCTGCATCACAGGCATCATTACTGTCTTGAGCAGCTATGCCCTTTCTTTTTCCAGGTCCCCCCTATTTTCCCCTTCTCGTACCATCAGGGCCACTTCGACCGCGGCCAGAAACGCGTCTTGGTCCAGCTTTCTGAGGGCCCATCTTTGAGAGACAGCCTCTCTGTTTCGGCGGCGCTCCACCACCCCACGGGGGAAGGCACCGACGGAGAACTTTACATATTTGTGATCAGAAATGGTTTCGACCTCCGTCAGCACCCCCCACCCGCTTACCAACCTTGAGGCAGAGGGAGTGACCCATGTCAGGTCTACGATTGACTCCCCCTGCCTCCTAACACATGTGGCCTTCCTCCCCCTATTACAGGGGAGAAGACCACCTCGCGCCGCCTAGTCTAGAACTTGTCCACCCTGCCAGTCGTCGCGTGGGGACCCCCAAGCACCTGACTTGGCGTTGAAGTCCCCCGCGACGACTATTGGGGCGGAGTGATATTCCGCCAGCTGTCTCTCTATGGCGTGTAGTCTCCCGCAAAAGTCCCCTCTACTGAGACTCGGCGGAAGGTACACGCCAATGACGATGATGGACCCCCATCTGACCGTGACCGTACCCTCTCCCGATTTTAAAGGTTCCATTGGGGGAGAGTTTGACGCTCCTCTGTGGGTGATCGCAGCCAAGCCGTCCGTACTGCTCGCCACGTTGTTGTCTGGAACACGGTGCGGCTCAGCTACGATCCCCAGGCCGCAGTCTCTCTCCGCCATATTTTGGACGAAGAGATCCTGGGCCGGCCCTGAGTGATTTAGGTTTGCTTGTAGTACTTTACAAGCCATTTCTTTCTTTTTCTTCTCCGTAGGTCCTACCTCCATAGCGGCAGGATCTCCCTCATTTAGTTTTAGTTGGAGGCGCGTCTTTTTGGCGCCTCCTTCTGGAAATTTCTCCTCCTCTCTCTTCTCCCCCCTTGTGCGTGGAGGCCTTTGGTCTTTTGGGGCCTCTACTATATTGTTAAAATCAATAAAGGGGGGAGCTTCTTGGGAGGGGGGATAGTTTATCACTCTATTAAGTGAGACTCCTCTCTTTCCCTTTTGCATCGGCATGCACGATCTACTTTCCGCTCTGTTTGGTGGGAAGTCCTTTGTCTGCGCATACCGGGCAGTTTACTTCTGCCACGCAGTTTTTGGCTGCGTGGCCCTCATTTCCACAGCGGTAACATTTACCGCTACGGCCTCCTTGTTTGGGCACCGCGCGCGCACGTGTCCTCCCTCTAAGCATTTATAACACTGAAGGGATCTGGCATCTAACATTTCGGCGCGCACCAGTGCCCAACCTATCTGTATTTTGGCCGTGCCCATTATACTATTTGCTGCTTTCAGCGGGCAACGGATCCAGACAATTCCCATTCCACCTGGGGTTTTCCTTATCTCCCCCAGATGGATCTCCTCTTCCTCGCAATTCCCTACTGTGGCTATTGCTTTAATTACTTCGGAGGCTCTGATGGACTTATCGAGCCCCCGAAGTCTCATCTCTGCCATCTTGATTGGGCGTTGGACTTTGACGCCCGTTTTGCCTTTCAAGGCCTCCCTCATTCCGAGGGCAAATCTATCCGCCTTCTCATGTCCATTTGCCCCCGATATCTCAAAAATGTACGATCCCGTTGCTCCTCTTTTGATCGTTGCGCCTTCCATATTAAGGCCATGCGCCTCCATCTTTTGCCGTGCCTGCCGGAGGTTTTTCTCATACGTTCCGGGAGGGCACGTCAGTGTAATTGCTGCCGTTCTGGGTTCCCTCCTTTTCTTCTTCTTTTTAGCTGGCTCTTGGCCAGTCATTTTTGTGTGGGGAGAGTTTATGTTTGTAGTTGCGCTCACTCTGTCTCCCTTTATCCTCGTATTTGCAGCCACAGTCTCTTTCACAGCTGCTGTTACTGCTCTCGCTTTTTTCTCTCTTCTGGAGACTACTTCACTCCAGGAAGCGGCGACCCTCTCGTTTAAGGATTTTGAGACTTGTCTTTATGGCGCTCCTCCTTTCTTCCCTGCACCTTGAGGTATCAACTTTATTCCGGGTTGCTGTTGTAAGGGTAAAACTGTTGTATTACTCTTTACCGCCTCCTTTGATTTGAGTCCGGAGATTCTTGCTGTTGCCGGGCGCGAGGACGGATTTAACGTAGTGGCGGGCCTTATTCTAACCGCCTTTCTTACGACCTCCACTCCCTTGACTATCGGCTTGGCAGCTGTTCTCTTCTCCTGTGCCGGATTTTCTAATCTGGTTGTTCCCACCTTTGCCCTTTTTTGTGATTTGGGCTGTTGCTGTTGTTGTTGCTGCTCCTTGACTCCTTTTTTGGCTCTGAGGGTTTCGCCATATGTGGGTACTGGGCATCCCAGTCTTTTGTCGAGCTCCTTCACTACTACACCTTCGATCATAGCCACCATGGCCATGAATTTCTCTTTCTCTCTGACTTCCTCTTCTTCTCTTTTATCTTGTGAAATAATGTATTCCGCATTTCCTCTTTTGACGTACATTGTTCCGCGCGTCTTGGGGGGAAGTCTTTCCCCTCTCCATTTCAGTAAAGTAGGATTTTTCTTATATTGGAGGATGGGTGGGTATTCCTCGTCTTCATCATTCACTTCCATCCTTTCCACGTTTTGATCCTTTCCTTCCTTCCTTTTCAATCCTGAGGTGCGCGAGGTCTCCCCATCGTATGGTGGGGGTGAGACCCCCCGCATCTCGATATCTTTGATCAGGGAGGCTTCCCCGCCTACGGGTGGAAGTGAGGTTTCCCTGATTATTTCTTCTCCTTGGGTTGATGGGACCCCCCCCCCCCCCCGCTTTTGAGTGGAAGCGGGGCCCCATCAATCCGTTTTCTTGCCCTGATCCTTATTCCTTCTCTATTTGCGTTATGCGGTCCTTCTCTTTCATCATCATCTGATGTGTCCGAATTGAACTTTGGACGAATTTTCTTTCTATTGGCCCGTTCCAGTTCCCTCTCCAGTTGCTGCTTTTCCAGCATTAACTGATGTACTTGATGGCGTAGTTCCTTTAGTTGTCTCTCTACTGAAGCCTTTGTCGGGTTCTGAACCCTTAGAGCTAACGTTGTTGCAGCCGCACACGTGTCTGCAGCTGCATCTTTGGCTTGCCTAGTCAGTGAGCCTTTCATTTTCCTGCACGCAACGCTACTTTATAAATTGCCGTTGCTTTCTCTGAGGTGATTGTTTCCAGGTCAGGGATTGTCATCTTATAATATTCCTCTCCTTTTTCCCTTATCCTCTTGAGGAAGTCATGATATGACTTCCCTGGGTGAGGTTCTTGTAAAGGGTCCAAGATCTGTTCCAGGCGCGCTTCCTGCTCTTCTTGTTTCGCAATTTTTGCAGCCTTTACTTTTTCGAAATCACCGGTGGTTATTGGCCGGCTTTTTCTTTTGGGTGCAGATACCGGTGGTAGAGCCTGTTCCTCTTCTGTTTCGCTAATACCCTCTTGTTCCTGTACCGGTATATTTGTCTTGGTACAAAGAGCAGGGAATTCTTTCTCGTCGAGAATGTTTTTTGCTGTAGGCCTTTCTGTGTTGCCTTCCCCTTCATTTGGTAGGTTGTCTGTATCCTCAGTGTCCGTTCCTATTACTGATTCCACCATCCTCCTCCTTTGGGCGAGTGCGCTGGTTCTCGCCTTTTCTCGTTCCATTACCATTTTCCGTCTTCTTTGCGCAGAACCGTTTTTGGCTTTTTCCTTGTTCGACGTTCTCGAGAGGGTCGAAGAAAAGCTACTGGTTGAGTCACATTCAGCCAGGTCCACTAAGTCCACTGTAACTGGTCTCAGTAGATTCCTGTGCCAGCGGTACTTCTCTTCTAGAGAAGTACGGGTGTCCTCTTTGCCGTACACCTCCTCCAGTTCCTTTTGCGCGTTAGCTCCATCCGTGTTGTTGTTTTGTATATTGTTAAAATTCTTACTCATTTTGTTTAGTCCCACTGTCCCGCTGCGGCTCCGTCCCCCAGGGTATACCCCCACCGGCCGAGGGATGCCCCGAAACATGACCGGCCACATCCCAGGGCCGGGCTCCAAGTTCCCCCGGGGAGGAGACATATGTCTTAGGCCGGGGGGATACCGCACCCCGGCCAGACTCCGAGCCCCTTACACACCCATGTGGAATTTGACGCCCACACGAGCTTTCAGGGGTCCCGCACCTCCGACCATGCAGGTACCGCAGTGGATGGCCCCACCCGGGGGCCCCACGGACGCTTTGGACAGGGTCGCCGCTCCCCGGCCCTGCCCTACACGTCGTGGCGACCAGCATACCGTGTTGCCCCTCGTCGAAGGCTTTCGAAAGCCTTTGACGAGGGGTGTGCGCCTCTCCGATCGTTCGGTTCGAAAGGGTAAACGGTCCCGACTAACCGGGAGATATCTTTTCTCACCGCCGGGCCCCGCCTCGGAAACGTCCAAGCGGCCCCAGCAGTAGGCGGCCGCAGCACCTTTTTTTTTTTTTGACGCTGGGGAAACCGTCATGGTACCGCACACCCCCGGGTAGGGGTGCGGGTTATGTGGGACTCCTTGTTCCCCTTGATCGAGCTACGAATAGTTCGACCAGGGGGCCCAAGACCTACCTCACTAAAACCCCAGCGGGTGTCCTGCTCGGGCGTTGGATAGGGAACGGCGAGGATGCTGGATTCCATGCCGTCTCGCCGCCCTCCCGCCAAGCCGTCTCCGGGGAGCTGCCTCGACCTTGCGGCCGAGACCCCTCCCCGACCGCACAGTCAGTGACTGTGCGGTTTCCTCGCGGTTGCGGCGCAGGGCGAACACCGGCCCTACGCCGCGCCCTCTCAAAGAGGGGGTTGGGGGGCGGGGCCATGGCTCCAGAGTGGTGCTCCCTCCCCCTTTCAGAGGGAATGGGGATTCGGCATTCACCCTAAAGGCCCTCACCAGGGAAACCCTTCCCTGAAGGGGAAGGGGCCCTCTACGGCGTTGATGTCCTGCCACCGGTGCCTCATGGCTCCCGGTGACAGAGCCCTCCCGCCGCATCTTCGTCCATGAGGGGAAAGGTCGCACCCCACAAGGCCGGGCAGAGCCCGACCCCGCAGACGAGCGACCCCTCCCCTCGGTCCCCCCGGTTGCGGCTCCCACCGTTCCCTTAGGAGTTGGGATTCGGCCACAACCGAGGGGATTTCCCTTCCGGGCGCGCAACCACACCCCCTGTAGGGGTGATGCGTCTGCGCGCCCGGCTCTCGTGAGGCTCTCGGGGGGGGGGGAATTCTGGGGACTTATTTGTCCCCAGCCCCACCCCGGGAACCTCATCCTGCGTCAAAATTTGACGCAGGTGTGTTGGGGGCGGGCCCCCCCCAACCGCACCGCCACAAATGAGCGAGCTCGCCGACGGCGCGGAAAGGGAGGACCCGGTCCTGCTCTTCACGTTTGCTCTCCTTTTCTTTCGGAGGTTGTACCCCCCCTCCCCCGGCAAGCCCGTCGATGGCGTGGGATGGGGAGGGGGCACACCTCCTCCCTCCGTATTTCCTTCTTTTCTTCTTCTTCTTCTGGGGCGCCCCCCCCCCCCGATCCCCGACACCAAGAACGGGCAAGCCCGCCGATGCCGGGGAAAGAGGAGGCACGTCCCTTCCCTCCATCTCTCCCTCTCTCTCTCTCTCCCTTTCAGCCTCCTCCTTCTGCAGCATAACCTTGCTGCAGAAGGAAGAGAACGCCTTCCAAGATTCTTCATTATCTGTCATTGCCCTTACTATCGAGGGCAATGACAGATCCATCCCCACCGCGGCCACGAGCTCCGCTCTTTCACCCGCCCAGGCAACACACTTGGCGAGTGTGTGCTGGGCGGTATCACGCTCGTGGCCGCAGTGATGGCACCGCGTTGTGCGCTCCTTCCCAATCCTGTGCAGGTACTCACCGAAACAACCATGTCCGGTGAGCACCTGCGTCGTGTGGAAGGACACCCCTCCTTTGGCCCTGTCTAGCCAATTTTCCAGACAGGGCCGTATAGCCCCAACGGTACGCTGTCCTGGCAGCTTTGGATCAGCGAGGCTGTCCCTCCATTTCTGGATCAGCGCCCGTCGGGAGTGGACCCTCACTGCCCGCCGGAGACCATCCGTTACTGTGACGCCCGCCCGCTGATATTCGCGTGTACGCGTGTACACATCTACGTACATGCGGGCGAGCATCTCCACGGGGGGCACTCCGGAGAGTACCCCCACGGCTACCCAGCTCACTGTACGGTAGCCCCGGCATATCCTATTGGCCACCCGCCTCTGCAGCTGCCTTATGGCATCTTTTGGGCCGCGGGTGGCCTCCAGGCATTTTACCCATACCGGGGCTCCGTAAAGGAGCATGGCATGGATGGTTCCGGCGTACAATTTTCGGACACTCCCGCCAGGCCCCCAAGGTTGGGCAGCAGGCGCTGCAGCGCCATTGCTGTCTTCTCCACCTTAGGGGATATACGGCGGAAGTGCTCCCGAAAGGTCCACTTACTGTCGAGGTGGAGGCCCAGGTACTTTAGACAGGCCCCCACCTCTATCGAGGTGTCCTCCACACTGATGTGGGCTTGTGGTGGCGCCCCATGAGAGCCATCGTGTAGAAAGATGGCCTCAGTTTTCTGGGGCGCCACTTTAAGCCTCATCTGCCTCACAAGTCGCACAACGCGGTGTACCGCAATATTCGCTCAAGCGGTTGCATCTTCCCACGAGTCTCCCCCGGCCATCACAAGTGTGTCGTCAGCGTAGCACACTGTGTGACAGCCGGAGGGGAGGGCCTGCCGAAGAACATTGTCATACGCGAGGTTCCACAGCAGGGGGCCAAGTACCGACCTCTGCGGAACCCCGCACGTCATCTGACGTTTCTG